TAATTGGAAGTTGACTTGTGTGATTAGAGCTAAGAAGTGTTTGTTGGGGATGTATTATTGGAATTGGATGAGGGGAGGGGGAGTGGGGTATTTATTAGAAGCTCCTATTCAAAAAGAGAATGAGAAGATGCATTATGAGTTTTGTGGGGATTTGGGGATTAAGGCTACTCATGAACAGGCTTTTGATTATCAGCCGAAGTTCGTTCTTTTTGAAGCTAGAAATACTGGGGGTTTAACATTTTCTTGAGGAACTGACGGTAGTGGCATGAATATCCCAACCGATGTTACTCTTGATATTTGAGATAGTGCACACTTGGACGAGATAAAAAAAAGAGCAGAGGAAAAATTTGAACAAGAAGGAAAAGAGACTAAAGATTATCTAAAGAAATATAGTTTAAACGAAGAGGAAGAAAATTGAGAAGGAAAAAAGAGGAGTAAAAAACAAGACCTAATCCCTCCTATATACATTGATTTTTTAGGAGGGTTATTTAGCCGAAAATTCTTTTTAGTGGTCGGTTGTGAAGAACAGGCTAAACAAATACTAGCAGGAGATCCACAAGGAAGAAAAGGATTGTTTAAACATAGTGAAAAAAGAGAAGAAATTTTGTTTACCAAGGATCCACAATTCACCGAATGAATTAAAAAACAACCTCATCTACGAAGTCATATTACTTTTCAATTTTATTTATTTCACAATATAGTTATGCCAGCTAACTGAATGTTTTTAGGAATTGAAGGACGAGATAATGAGGGAAAAGAAATAAAAGATTGACCAAGTAATCCCGAGAAAGTAGACCACTTTGTTTTACCTTATAAGTTATGAATTCGTAGTTCCCCAGCTAATTTGCATTATCGTTGAGAATTTGAATATATCAATGTTAAACTTGATATCTCCACTCAAGGCAAATTTGAACCTCGTTTTTCTCTTAACAAAGTTCTAAGAAGTTTAAGTGTTAGCATACTAGGTTGCGGAGGAGCTATTTCTTGAGACCCTGATGCTACTAATCCTCTTAATAAAAAACAACTTGATCAAACTAGTAAACAAGAACAACAGACCGAAAGAATGTTTAAAAGTACCTATAAAAATGCCTTGGACAAAACTATTGAACCAGTCATTTTTAATGCTAATACTATTGATTTTAACTATTCACTAGGAGAATTCTTTAATAGATTAACTAATCCAGTTTTTTTCTATCGAGTTCATGTTAGTGAATTATTATTTAATCGGCTTTGTTGAGCTAATAATAAGCAAAAAATACTTAATCTACCTCTCCAATGACCAAAATACGGAGAATTTGCTCAGAAATTAGGAGAGTGAAAATGAAGAGATGTTAAGTTAGAAAGTGATATTCAGGGCTTTTTTAAAGAAAAGATGGAAAATGGCTATATTTTGACGGATGGTAGTGATTTAGAAAAACCTAAGTTTGATTATGTAAAAGCTAACAATTATTTACAATCGGCTGGAGATGCCTGAGATATCTATTTTGCCGAAGAAGAAAAAATAGAAGTGGAAACTCCAGGTGAAGACAAACAAATTGCTGAAGCTCCCAAAGATGCCAATGACCAAGTAACTAAAGGAGGAGCATTTGATACTTTCTTAGAATTTGAAAGTCAAGAAGCATTTAATCAATTTAGAACT